TAACTCTGAATAGAAGGATTTTCAAAAAAATCTTCATAAAATAAAAAATTCAGTAGGGGCAGGATTCAAAGTTCTTGGTGCGGAGTTTTCCATCTCATTGTCTCGTATATCTGTATCTTCTGATGCGCGCCAAGAACTTTAAATCCTGTCTCTACTGAATTTTTTATTTTATGAAGATTTTTTTGAAAATCCTTCTATTCAGAGTTATCCTCCCCATAATAATCTGATAGCACATTCCATGATCCATTGGACATTTCTTGACTTGGCTTTGATTTTTATTTGTTTATTTTTTGCAAAATTTCTATGGGAATTGTGGTTTNATGTTTCTTATTTCCAGAAACGACCCCACAAAATTTTTTCTTGGCGCAGTTTTTTTGCAAAAATTTGGTTATAATTTACTTGGGGCATCGTATGGTCATGTTGATTAAGATAACAACATATTTAATCATGAGAATAATTTTGGTTTTTGAGTAAACCAAAGAATTTCTGGAGTTAGCAAACCTTTGGCTAGAAAGAAATCAAATCATCTCTCATTATAGAATCAATCTCTCATTATAGTGACACATAAAAAAAACTTCAATTATAGAGAAGTTCGATTTCTCCCAATCAAATGTACCACAAGAAGAGATAACTGGTATTCACTATGAAATCATGTTTATTTGACAATTAACTGATATAATTAATTTTTTCTATCAGTGTATCCCAGATTTAAGTAAAATTTACTGAGAAATACAACTTTTTCCTCAAATTTTTAAGGAAAAATTTCTTAAAATAAGTAAAATCCTAGAAAGAAGTTTATTTCCAGGGAGCCTATTCTCGACTCAGGATCGTACGGTCGTACGACAACGTGTCACATGCGGCCCATAAACGAACTGCTGGGTCGTATGCGACTCGCTTTCGTACGATCGTACGATCCTGAGTCGAGATAGGCTCCCTGGATTAGTTGCTCGCTGAATTTTAATATAACCAAGTTTTGAAATTCAAGGATTTTCATCGGAAACTAGAAACTTTTTTCTCTGAGTTATCAACGTTTTCCTCTGCTGACGTAATTTGTAATTTAAAACGACTGAAAACAGGAAAAATGAACAGTTTCTCAGATTTACTGCAGTTGTTCGTTCTTCATTGATAATTTTTAAAAACTCTTACCACAAATCGAATGGTTCTAGTGCCAACATCGAGAACTCCAATTAGAGGTCCTGCTCTCTTCAGAGAGCCAGGCAATATGTCTGCAATAGGAGCGGAAAAGAATCCTCATTTTGTTTTCTTTGAATATTGTGTATCAACTTAAAAAGATAACAAACTCTCTCTGATAAAAATAAGATGAAGGTTGACCCCTGGGAATCACTCATTTTCTTAATCATCGGCGAATGTGCAATTGCCGGAGGGAAAAAACCTGATAAATAGTCGGCACGGAAGCCCTTTAGAACCTTTCTTATCTAATTATCCAATTGCGTAGTAGCACAATAATAACTTCACAAAATTATAATGAAACAAGATGAATATTTTAATGGATATCTTGTTAGTTTGAAAAATAGAATGAAAACGAATGCACATGCCTTGAACTTTGCCTCTAGCTTCCTCAACGCTCCTGCCGGATAACGAAAAATTTGTCCGTCTTCCCATTTTCAAATTATTAATTGAATCAGCGAATTATTTTACAGATTTATAAAAAATTGGAAACCGATTACTCTTATTTTCCTATAGGAACGTTACTTACTAGACTAAATTCATCAGTTACATACAAGTAGTTGATGGGTAATGTAAATTTCACACAACCGGCGTGCGAGCAATGTGATTGCGGAGCAGACTGCCCGTGCTTTTTTTATCCAAGAAACACGATATGTATGTAGTACGTGGACATTCATACGTGACGTCATCATCCACAGACCTTCTCCATTGGCTACAACGAGGCTCGAATCGCCACTTCCCTTTATTCACTCATCAATGCTCACCGCAAAGTGCAGTTCGATTGTTTAGTAAATCCCAAGATGTTAAAGTATATACATACTTGGCTTGTGAATTATTTGCAATCTATGTCTGACAAATATTCGATAATGATGTCAATATTTGTGGCCTGGTTTTAGTGAACTTTGGATTGACGATTTCCTCTTTGTTTACATTAAGAAAATGGAAGGACGTTGGTGCGGAAATTGTTTTTCATAATTTTTTTTAACATTAGTTTTAAAAAAGAAAAAATCACTGACAAGTTGAAACGTTCCATTGATTGCATTCTCTCTATTTCTATTCGTCCTCTGAAAATAACTTTCAAAAAGAATTTCTAGAAAATTTTCATATTTGTTTCTCTTCATAATAAAATGGGAATTGAAACGGAAATTCTAGTGAGATGCTCAGCATTGAAGGTCAATTTCCCAATAGATGATTTTACCGACAGTATTCTTTCTGTGTATGTACCCATAAGGAGCCAAACATTTCAAGAGAAAATGTCAAGAGACCGTTTTGCTTGACGAGAAAATGTTCCGCCAGATACCTTCTCCCGACGAGAAATTTTCATTATCAAACGGATCTTGCAATTAGAGAGATATTGAGAATCAACTTTCACTAAGCCATCAGGAAGAGTTATAAATATATTTGCCTATTGAATTAGAGAAATGTGTTTCAAAAACTGTCTCCTAACATCAGCGTGGGTGGAGAACAATTTCACATCGATGAAAAAATATTAAAAAAATGAAACGCAAAGTCCATTTACAAATTTTCAGTGGCAGGTACATAACTACGTGCTCCACGTGCTGCAGACATCTGATCTATAGATTACAATCGCCTGATTATTCACGAGGGCTTGTGCCTGGTGAAGGTAACTTATTATTAGCCTCGACATCTGCTAAACGAAAGTACGATGCTACTATGGAAACTTCACAGTCAGATAAATTTTTTCAACTCTACCATCAAACTTATTTACATGTCAATAAATATTGAATTGAAACATCTCCAAATATATACAGGAAAATCATAATGATTAATGAGAATTCAATATTGCAAATACAACGAACGAAGGAAACGCCTTTTTTTTATCGTAATTGGACTTTAAGTTCCTGTCAGTTACTCATTGTTGAAAAATAAAAGAAATATTCACAGCTTAATTAGAAAATTTGAATGATTAAAAAAATTGTTGAAGTATTTCTGATAATGAATTATTTATTATTATCTAGGTGATTCTCCATTTTATTAATTCATTGATGATTTTATTACCTGTGGATTTGAAAGAATAATATTTGAAGATACTTGTTTTTCTCTTCATGTCCTGAACATCATGATCGTCCATAGGTGAACGCTCGATGCGTTTATTGACGTCGAAGGTATCATCTGTCTCCGTTGACTCCATCTCCAATAATGCTTATTACACTTTAGTATTTACAGTTGAATTGATTAGAACTTAGGACCACGCACTGAACATCAGACGGCAGTTGGTGACTCGACTGTCGAAAAAAAGTCCACAAATACTGATAAAACAGACATCGGTGGCTGAGTGGATTAAACGCAAGTCTAGTGTGCGAAAGGTTGTGAGTTCGATTACCCGTGGAACCAATTTTTTCAACCGAAGGCTCCGGCGAGCGGGAGGTTGCTAATAGAGGAACCGCCTGTATCGGCATGGGTGTTTTGTGGTTTCCCCATGCTACTTCTATGTTCTATAGAAGTGCGAATGCGGTATATACAGTGGAGAATCCACAGCCGCATGCATAGGGTTGGATAGAGTGCCGAATGGGACCCCAAAAAGGAACTCGAAGGCCGTAAAATAAAAAAAAATTAAAAAATACTGATAAAAGATTCGACAAGGTGGAAGAAGTAATTCACTTATTTGATACACGCGTATGGGGGAATAAACTGGTTTGCATTATTCAAATGTAGAGGGTAATGCTCTTGTTCTCATGTAGGTAACGCGCTGTGACACTATTGCTCAAAATTGGGTGCTTTATTGGCTCGCGGTATGATCTGAAACTGTGCCTTGTTCTCATAGCTGATGCCAATGTTACGTCATTTGAAATTTTCGTACGCGTGAGCATCATCAATATTCATTGTTTATCACTGTTTTGCTTCCACATGGAAGCCTTGTAAGCGTTCGATTTCCAAATTTTTTAATTTGGCCGGAAATGATGCATAATAGTGTTTAACGTAGAAATAAGAAATTTTACAACTGCGGTTGTCTGTCAGCATCCTTTTGAAGGACAATTTTTTGTAAATTGAATAATTAAATGGTTATGACAATTTCAAAAAAATCTGAAATTTTATCAGATAGTATAAGCTACCCAGTGAATGGACACTGCCCTATAGATGGACGAGGTGCTATTGGATAAGAAATTACGCAAAAAATGTTGAAATGTAAATTGTTGCTTTGAATTTTCACTAACTGCTGTGATTCTTAACCCCTGAATGGCGATTTTTATTTCAATTAATTTTTTTTAATTACTAAAAAACAAACGTCCATCTACTGGGCAGTTGACCCTAATTAGTTTAGACTATAACTCTGTGTAAGATTTCAACCTTGTCGGTTCATTAGTTTATGAGTAGCACCGATCCGTTTTTAAATTGATTTTGGCAGATATATTAGAAACTAGTCAATTGATTAAGAAAAATGTTTTTTTTAACATTGCTCTTGATATGTAGTACCTCAATCAAGAAAAATATGTATATTCGTTGATAGGAAGTTTTTAAAATATTGCTCATTTTCCATTTTTTGCTCTTTTTTTATGAAGTGAATTATTATAAATAATACAATAACTAGTTTGGTAACTCTGGTTCCCTATATTGATGATATCAATACAAATACATAAAACGAAACTATTTGGAAGGGCGCTATCAATTGATGGAAAAAACCTAGTAACCAATCGATTCGTAATTTTGAAATAGTGATAGACGATGGTCATAGATAAATTTACAATCCTTTCAATTGCAATCTTGCCCATTTTTTGTATTCTATTGAGAATAATGAGACAAAGACGACATATTTTACAGCTAAATTTTCACTTAATTATCTAACACTTGATGCACAGATTTTTACAAAAGAATACTATTTGTAAAGGTGTACTTTCCTGAAAAATGTACGCCATTTTTGTTGGTAACTTCATTGGACAAAATGCTTTTGGAATATTCGATGAAAGTGACACCTAATGGAATAATCAAAGAGCCATGGAAAATTCAGTTAGCGGAGCTAATTAACTGTCAATTAAAATCGAGTTTGCGTTACCGCTATATCATGCTAAAGGACTCCATTAACACTCTCTCGTCATGAAAAAAATTCTATTACGAAATTAGGAAGTATAACAGTTACATGTCTAATTAAAATGATTAAGGAGATTGAAATAGCCAAAGATGGCATTGGATATTTCATTTGCATTGCTCTTGTGCATTTATCATTATTCCGATTGCTATCCAAATATTTTAAGAATATACTTAGTTTTAACGTCAAGAAGGCAAAGCTATTTCGCTACGAAAAGTAATATGAACAAATTCTCAAACCGATATAGATGTTCACACTTTTCTCAATACATTTTATTCAAATTATAAGTTTCGAATGATGGTTCTGAACGGGACTCAAAGTAGACGAGGCGAAGAAATTTTAAGCTTAAAGGCGTTTAAATATTCATTTATTAATTATTACGGAATTCAATTTCAATTTAATTCAAATTGTAATTATACATTTTTTCAATTGAAATTATAAATTAGAGATTGAGATTACGATGTTCATTTGCGGATATACTAACTCCAGATAGGAAGAACTAAGGTAATCTAGTTATCATTTCAGAGTTTGTTTATTAACAAAGATATTAGATTCAGTTAAATCGTGGCATAGCGTACATATTAGGTATTCAATAAACTCCTTAAATATAACTAATGAGCTAAATGAAATGGAGTTTTGTTCATAAAGTAGGCTCGTAGGTAGTTTTATCCACCTATTTTTCCTGCCTGAGAGGAATATAGGAGAGTAAATTTAAATCGTCTGTTTAAGTACAATTGGAAAGAGTTCGGGTGTGGGAGAAAAAATGTGAATTGTTTAAGAAAAAACCATCAACTCCGAGTACTATCTACTATTTCGTGACCATGCGAGAAATTCTGAGTTTTTTAATCATTAAATTTAGCTATTAATTTTCGTGGAGACTATTTTTGAAAAATGCATATTGAATCAGAATCATTCAAATTACATTTTGCAACATGAGCAGATCCATGTCCAAACGCAAGACCAAAAAGTCGATGGCGGGATCTTTTCGCCAATTTTTTCCGAAAAGTTGCTCCTCAACAAAATATTTTGAAAAAAATCATTAGAAACTATTAAAAATTGAATGACTTATGATTTTTCGAAAATTTTTCGTTTTTTTAGGTGAATTTTTTTAGCTTTAGATTTTTATTTTGAATTTTCATCCACATCTAATTCAAGTTTGGAGCTATTACATCATAACTTCAAAAAAATTTCCAAAAATCATAACTTCCTCAATTTTTAATAGTTTTCAATGATTGTCGTCTTGGAATGTTCGTTTAAAAAACAACTTTTTGAAAAAAAATAAAACCGTGGAGCATTCACTTTTTTATTGGAGGACCATTTATCCTCATTTTCCTGAATGTTCAGCAAAATGTTTAATTGAACTATGAAAATGCATTCAACCACTGCTAAGAAATAACTTGAATTGACGAAAAAAATTTCGTCATCTTACTGATGATCTTTGGTGAAAAGTTGAGATTAAAAAAATTAGGTGTTTGAGATAATTGTCATTGAAAGCTTGCAAAATAAGAAAGATGGAATACCACGGGTGACAGCTCATTTTGAAGCTTAGCAAATTAAACAGTACCGGATGTGGTTGATAATCAAATGGATAACCATGCAAAATAAGACAAAACAACATTTTCACTATAATGCCATTTGTGTATGATTAACTCGTGTTCTGTCTAGTCAGTAGCTCGTCTGAAGTTTTATTTTGGATAATTGGTATATGGGACAAAAAAATGTTAAAAGAGTAGTCAAGGTCGCTTCCACGGTAATTGTTTTAATTAAGTAAATTATCGAATCGATGACGGTTTTTATTGTACTTGAGTACTGGACATGATGTGGTCTTGGTAGTTAGGCCGCATGATGCGTTAGTTTATCCCGGGAAACATCGGACTACTCGACACGATGTTATCCACTTGAGTCTTATATACTAAACTGAACCGGCCGAAACCACTTGCGAGAATTTTCTACATCATTGCTGTCGTTCATAACAACCAAAATACTATTTTGAAAATAAAAATAAAAATTCGCCATCATTCTTCAATCCATTGATCGTTTTTTCTGGGGATTAGCAATTCTCTCCCTTCATTATTAATTAGACAAAAAATTGTTAAATAACCAGTCAAAGTCTCTGATGTGCGAAAACACTCGATTAAGAGTCAGAGTCCATCTAGCGTTACATCCAGGGAAGCAGCCGATGAAACGCGGTTTGTTTGAACTTCACATCCTCGCATACATTCCCTAATCGATCGAATGCTCATTCAAATTTAAGCGTTCTGCCTGCAATTCATCGTGAAATGTAAACTTTTTTAAAGTGTTCTTTTTTACATCAGAGATTCGCGGCTGTGTTAGTAACGTCTGGTAACTTGATAAATCAACTCATCACATCTTGTTAATTTTGCAAATCACTGCAATAATGAATAATTATAAAATAATATATTAAAGGACTCTTTTTAAAAGGAATTTTCTCATCTTCGAAAAAAATGCTTCGAAGAGGTCTTTAGAAAAATTTTGTCATTTCTCTTGGATATCAGAGATACTTTTCAAAAACTTATCTAACAGCTGAGTCGACTTGTTACCCTTTATGATAACGGCAGTATTAATAGTGATGATAAATTTAACTTATTACGTTTTACCATTTTAGTGTAAACATAGTTGTTGAAGGTATTCCCTCCCATAGCTTAGTATATAGTTTAACTCTGTCCTCTATCGGAACACTATCAAATGGCTTTCATTTTTATAAGTACTTTTTTTCAAAAAAGAATATCAGAGATGATCATGTAAGACTGCCGATTAATATTCATTTTTATTCATCTTGATTGGATGTCCGGTAAATATGTTGAGTGTTCGATCTTTGGCTATATACTCCTGAACAACTCCTCGGATTGTGGAGAACTGATTCGATCACTGAGTCAACAAAATTGTAACGCTACACTTGAAAATTCAATCTTTGCATTATTATGATCGATTAAAACTGAGACTTAAACCGGTCAATTGTCGTTTCATTCTACCTGATCATAGAACTCATTGAGGTTCAATTTGATACGGAAACGTGAAGTTAGATGATTCCACACTTTATGTCCCGTAATAAGGAATCGATTCTTTGGTTAAATTTTATATGTCCTCGTCTTTGGGACAAGTACAAAATTTCTTGACGCAAGTACTTTTTTTTCTTAGTGCAACATATTTTGCTCTCGAAAATTTTCAAGCTACGAATTT